TCAAGGATAGTCTTAACAATCAAACCACCATGGATCGGGGAGAGAATACATGGGACGAATAATGAGCTTCAGCTGACTAAGGGCGCGGGCAGCCAAGTCAGCACTCTTGGTGACGAGATGGCACATACCGGCACGTTCACCATAAAGACCGAAGTTCTTGGCGAAACTCTGAGCTACGAAGAATTCCATACCAGACTGATAGAAGAGACGGAGGGCATAAGCATCAGCCTCGAGATCGCCAGACGCGTATCCCTGATAGGCATTGTCGAGAACAGGGACAAGGTTCTTCTCAGCAATAAGCTTCTGCAGCTGCTGCCACTGTTCGTGGTTGAAGTCCATACCAGTGGGATTGTGAGCGCAGGCATGAAGGAGGATGAGAGAGCCAACAGGAGCATCGCCAATAACCTTCAAGGTTCCCTCGAAGTTGATCGCGCGATGTTCGCTGTCCCAGTAGGGATACTTTCGGACTTTCAGACCAGATTTCTCGAAGACCTTGATGTGGTTACCCCATGTAGGATCGGAGATATAAATGGCAGGTCTGTTGAGGAACTTGGCGGCAAATTCACCGATGAGTCTCAGAGATCCAGTGCCGGACAGAGCCTGACTACTGGCAATTCTATCACTAGACTCGCCAAAGAGAAGGCGTTGACTAAGGGGCTTGAGGGCCGGGAAACCGTCAATAGGAGCGTACTCCTTATCGACCTTCATGTCAGCGGCCAACTGCTGATCGACCTTACGGACAACATCGAGAACCTTGGGGTTGCCGTTCTCATCACGGTAAGCACCAATACCAAGATTGACCTTGTTGGGAGAGGGGTCAGCCTTATAAGCGGTGGCGGTACCGAGAATAGGATCCGGGGGAGCCAAATCACAAGATTCGAAAATGGAAGACATGTTTGAGTGGTGGGATACGTAACTGAAAAAGTCATGCCATATATCAAGTACGCATCGTGTTCCAGGTGAGTAGTTGTCGACTCCAGTTTCCGTCTGCTGTGTTCTCCCCCATGCTATCGCTGCGTAGATTCAGCCCCCCTCATGAGAGGTGTCGTCCATCTTCCTGTCTCACACATAGCGCAAGCGAAATAAAAGAAGGCGGCCTCGCTTCGCCACCTTTGCGTGTCGCGCGCCACAAAATCCCCTCGTCTCTTGCGCGCTCAAGATGTTCTTCCTCTGGCCCAAGTTCTCCTTCCTCACCGAAAAAAATCTCCTCACCGACGCGGAATGGAGGTCGATTTATGGAGTAAGGTCAATGACCGTTTGTATAGAGAGGGATGGTAGAATTCACGAGGAGTGCCAAATTGATCGATCGCTTACCTGGATCCTAGGCCCGATCGAGACACTCGGAGGAATTGGCAATTTGGGATGACTTCTCGGCGTGTGGCCAGTGAACTTTATGCTACCCTCTGCTAGAGAACTCTTGGACGCTTTTGTGAACAATGGGATGTGAGGTCATTTGAGGTATTACACTTGAATTACTGCACCCTACAGGGGCCAGCTCTT